TGGCACGGGATCGGGCAGTGTTTCGTTCTGCTGTGCATGGGGTCGCTATAAGTCGGAAACGACTCGACGGCACTTAGCAACAACAACAACAATCCAACTTTCCAATGTTTTGTCAGACAATCACATAAGGGGAAAGTCTTCATAATCACCTAGCCTAGAAACCAACCCCATTCCACATTCTACATGTAAACACAAAGTAATTTTTGGACAGTTTTAACTGTCTGAAAATTTTCGAGGAATGCAACTACCAGGTAAACCAATGGAAGATTATACATTATTTTGTCTGAAACAAACCAAGATTTGTTCAACATTTTAGACAATCACAACCCTGATAGCAGTACTGCTAATGATGTTTGAGTCTCTAATACTTCACGCCCATCAGTCTACACTTCAACCTATTGTCTTCCTGGGGATTTTCCAGACAGAGGGAAGTACCTGCCTCCTCCATTATATCTTCCATTGGAAGCATGTCTGGGCATTCACATGCTAAAATGCATATTGCTTTATAATAAATTATTTTCTCTACATTGATGTTTTATATTAGAGGATTGTGTTGATTTTTAAAGAGATTTTTATATCAGAAAATGATCATAAAATCAGTAAGACTTGAAAGTTATATATGAATGTGGGACATAAAAGAGGAGGTATCAAATAAGATAGGGTTTGAGCTTGTGCCATGCAATGAAAGATATTTTTCAAGAATGGGAAGAAAAAGAATTAACCTTGATATTTTATCCTTTGAATTTTTAAAAATGCTTAAAAATGATAGTCAATGTTGGGACCTCAAACCTTACATGACAGATGTTTAGAGAAGTGGGGTTCATGGAGGTCATCTAGTCTAGTCCAGCTGCTGGTGAGGCAAGCAAGGGGCATGTGAGTTAGGAGCATGTGCTACTGGACAGCTCTCGTCTCTCATTATCCTGGTGAGTGGGGGCTGAGGGAAGAGCAGCAGAAAGGTGAGCTTCACATCGGGGGTCTTTTGGTGGCCTGCTAGCTCCCAGCCCACGCAGAGCTGCAGCTGCAGACAGCTGAGGCGGGCAACAGGAAAACACTCTACAAAAAAGCAGAACCTGCTCCAAGCACTGGGCCTCTCAGATCCGGCAGTGTTCTCAGCAGCAGCCCCTCCTCCTCTGCCTACATGCACCTCAGCCCAGGGGAAACCCCAGCTTCCAGGCAAAGGCAAATGTGCTAAGTGATCCTGGTGCTGGCCTTCTATGCCAACCCTCCTCCTCCTCCTCTTCCTCTGACTGCCAGTGCAGTACGCTCTCATGAGTTGCAGTCCTTCCTTTCCTTAATCTAGTTAATGAATAGGAGAAGTCTGGAGTCCGCAGGTTGTGCGGTTAACGAGCTCAGCTGCTGACCAAAAGGTTGGAGGTTTGAGTCCGCCCAGAAGCCCCTCAGAAGAAAGGCCTAGTGATCTACTTCCACAAAATGAGCCATAGAAAACCCTATGGGGCCCAGTTCTACTGACACACATGGGTTGCCATGAGTAGGAGTCAGCTTGACAGCCACCGGTGTTTCCCTTAGCAGTCCCCCACTTTCTGTAGCTCACTGAGGAATGACTATACTAATGCAATTCAAAATAATAAATGCTGATGGTGTGTCGGGTGCTATTTTAAGTTCTTTGCATGTATTATCTCTTAATCCTCACAGAACCTTATAAGGTAAATACCACTAATCTCATCCCCATTTTACAGATGTGAAACTGGGACACAGAGTGCTCAATAAACTGTGCAAGATCACACAGCCAGAACTGAAAATGCAAGCAGGCTAACTCCAGAACCTCAGCCCTACCCCTCAGCCTCCAGCCACCCAACAGGACGTATGTCCCTCAAAGAACAGAAGCTGTTACCTGGCTAGTTATTCATAGATGGTCTCTGAATTATTCCACTGTTGTCAGCCTAAATATCTGTTTGTTTGAGAGGCAGCAGCTGTATTTATTAGGAGTTCTCAGCACCTTAAAGCATGCTCATTAAAATAATGATTCACTTTGGGAATAAAATTGTAATTGAGTGGGTACAATTGTGTTCACATCATCAGTCTGGCCAGACTGAACCCCTGTGGGATGTGTCTGCGTAGGAGTAGTCACCTTTTTATAGAGCCACTCACACCTTCTTCTATAGATTTTGATTTTAACCATATGATGCATCTGAGATCATGCAATGGTGGAGAACTCAACCCACACATGTTCACCCTTATTCACTCAGAGATACCTATAATACTTCCAGAAAGAAGTCCAATATCTTTCAAATAAATAACCAACAAAACTCATCCTGTACTTGTCAGTACCCAGAAGCACACACGGATGTATCCCCCCACTGAGAAGAGATGAATTCCCAAAAGCAGGCTCTCACAAGTCAGAAACATACAAATATGGAAATACACAACAGGTATCTAATGATAATAACAACTAACATTATCAGTGCTACTACATGCCAAAAATTCATACCCCCATTCCATAGTGTGGGGTTCACTCCTATTCCCACTGGATTCCCGGTGCAGTCATGTAATCATTCCTGCCAACAGGGAGTGAAAGTGATGTATGTATCACTTCTGGGCTGAGACTTTTAAGGAACAGGTGTGGCTTTTCCATTGTTTTTCTCTTCTTCTAGACAAAATCAAAGAACTGTGAGGCCCTAGGGGATGACACAACCTCAACATGGAAAGAACCTGTGCCCCCAGATGACCACATGGAAGAAAGCACTTGTTAACTAACCAGGAACTTCACTCTGGACTATTATGTGAGTGAAGGCTGCATTAGAAGAAGAAAATACTCACGTGAGCAGAAACAAGAACCACTAATTTCTAACTCACCAAAAATATTCTGAATGAATAAGTTTGAGGCTATTACCATAGTTTTTGGCCTGTAATTCTGTGACGAAGTAATGGATCACGGACATGATGTCACTGCTCTCACAGGTGCTCCCCACAAAATGAGGGATCATCAACATGCTTGGGTGTTTCTTTCTGAAGTAATTCACCCAGTTGGCAATCAGGGTGGACTTCCCACAACCACGTTCTCCAGACAAGAGCAAAATAGACTTGTAAGTGGGAAGAGGATTTATTCTGAAAAATAAAGGGGTAAACTGTGGTAAAAAGAAAAGAAAGGGGTTACACATTTAGAAAAGAAAGGAAGGAGGGAGGGAGGGAGGGAGGAAGGTCAACAAGGAGGGAGGGAAGGAAGGAAGGAGGAGGAGAAAAAGAAAGTTTTTCCTATCTATGTTTGGTCTCTAAGAGATAGGAGGTTCTAGTCCCAACTCTGACCTCAAGTGAACCTAAATAAATCCTTTGCCCTGGCTTTCTGTCCTATGTAAGATTAGGAAAGTAGGGAGAAAGTAACTTCTGGAGGCCTTTCTAACTACACAGATCCCAGGGTTGTCCAATATGGACCTGGGGTCATGGCAGAGGCCCAACTCACCAAAGGCCCTGGAAGAGAGACTCTCCCTATCAGCCCACTGTCCTTATATCTGCCCCATTCTTTCCTTCCTTGGACTACCAGCACCACCACCAGGCTGGTCCATGATGTAACATCACACTGAGAGGCAATAAAAAACTCAAATGTCCATGCACCAAGAATTCCCATCAATCCTGAGAATCACAAAATTGGGAATTCAACTAATTTACCATAATTGTTAGTAGCTCATTGAGAAGTAGCCTTCTCTTTTACCAGGGTGTTCTAGCTTGCAGTACTGCAGAAATTGGATTTAAATGAATAAATAAATAGGCTGGTGTGAGCATAATATCGTTTGTCCCATATTATGGGAATAGGAGCTTTACATTTTGGTTAAAAAAAAAAAGTTTCTGGATATGCCCAGGATCCCCAGGTCCATGCAGACCTTCTTCATGCAGTCTCCAGCCCTGTGCCTTACAGAGTCCTTGTTCAGTAAATACGTATCTATTGGTTTTCCATTGATGTGAGCTCCATAAGGGGAATTATCAACTTTTTCTTATTCACTGTTGGCATTCAGTGACTAGCACAGTACCTGACCAGAAGTCATGGAGTAAGTGAACAAAATAAATAAACCTGATATTCAGGTTTGGCAAAGCAAGATCAGTCCAAAAATCCATTAAAATAGAAAACCTACAGCAGGTCATTAAATAGTTTTGTTTCCTAAGAAGTTCATCTCCAGAAATATAAATTAAAAATCAATGTTTTATTGGTTTAATTATTTCATCATCAATGATAGCTAATGGTTATGAATGATAGCTAATGGTTACAGAGTTCTGTTTGGGGTGATGAAAAAGTTTTGGGAAAAGACAGTGGTGATGGCTGTGTAATACTGTAAATGTAATTAAAGCAATTGGATTATATATACACTTAAAAACAGTGCTTTGCCATTTTTTTCATTTTCTATTTATTCTCAAGAAGAAGTCATTAAGACCCTAGCAGCATTTTAAATATGTGTGTGTGTGTGTGTGTAGCTCTGGTGGCGTAGTGCCTAAGGCATTTGACTGCTAACCAGAAAGTTGGCAGTTCAACCCCCCCAGCCACTC